AGCTCTATTCTGAAGTTTTTAGAAGATTCTATTAAGTAGTTATTAAGATGCAGGGGTATGGTTTCTGTGTTTTTTGGTGGGATTTTAAGTGACCAGTTTGGTGATATGACCGGCTCGGTGATAGAGTACGTTACTTAACCTAGCAGCAAGATAATTTCCCCCTTAGCTAGCTGCTGTGTGACTAATATAGCCAATTCTTTGCGCAATAGGCGTAATATAGATTATGTTAGCATAAACTAGCCTAGTACGTTTATTGAGCGCCGCCCTAAGCTCTAAGTTAGGTTCAATTGCAAGTATAACTGTAACGGTTGAGAGGAGAAGCGGATCACGTGTTCTTGGCGGTGGTCTGGTGTTACTTCCTCATGTTGTTGAGCACCTCTTACCTTGGCTGCGTTACAAAGACGTCATCAAAACAAACCCCACAGCTAGGCTGGCGGAATGGGTATACTCCAACGTCCTTCGTGGGTACCCCCCAAAACCTTATCAATAATACATGGATTCTAGCAAACTAGGGCTGAAAAGAAAGAGAAAAACTACCTCTACATTTTTATAGTAGAAGGTTTTGTTATAACTATTAAACTGCACAAGCTAGAGGCTAGAAAATGTTAAAAAAGGGGGGGTACCTAGCAAGCATACCTATTAATAGGTATACTTTGCTAGGTAGTGTTAATAACTTAGCTAATACTAGGCAGAATTAGCTAATTCTTTTTTTATTAGAAGGCGCAATACTAGGCACTTCTATTAAATAATAGATTATGTAAGCGTATCTCTGCTAGTTAAGAAGCTATAAGCCAAAACGTAAAAAAGCATACCCTACCCATCCGCCAGCCTACCCACAGCGAGCCTTGGAGAACATAAAAAAAAAACACAGAACAACACACTCAATATATGCATTTTGCTCTTCATACCGCAACAATAACTGTCAGGCTGGGCATGTGGCAAAGCCACCTCTGACCCATGACGCCAAGGCATGTAGCAAAGCTCCCTCTGACCTGTGTCTTACGATATCAGTACTGTTCCAGCACGTGCTCACCATCAGTGTGAGCCATGATACCTTTTGGTTTACTTGTTTTAGTGGTCAGAGCTAGGCTGGTGGATGGGTAGGGTAGGCTTTTTTTTGTTTTTGCTTCTAGCTCCTTAACTAGTAGGGATACGCTTAACGTAGATTATCACTGAGCCAGCCATATCACCGAACCAGCCATTTTCTCTTAGCATAACTAACACAAGTTACTGCAACTATAACTAACATACTCCACAAGCGAGTGGCTCACACAAGCGAGTGGCTCACTTTTGCCAAGACTGCACCAACACTACAACTACTTTACAACATTACAGCACACAACAACAATATTATGTACTACACAGTATACTACAATAATCTTTAGTACTTTGCGCATCTTTCTTACACGTTGTCCTGTTATGCCCTGCCTTGCCACACATGCTACAGTGTCTTAATAACTAAGTGCTGCTATTAGCACCTCCTCTCTTCTTTGCCTTCTTCCTATTACTACAAGCCTTAAACTCCTTTAGAGTAGTAAGCTGCACTCCCTTAGCAAAGGTTAATACCCTATCTTGCTATACTTACTTTCTTTTATGTAATTTATAGTGTGTGGCAGCCTTATTAGCTACCTAAAGGTTAGCAACCTAGTTACACACTAAAACTAGTAAATACACTATTAGCTCTGCGCCTTTAGTAAGCTAATTAAGGGCGTTAACTATTAATATTAGTAAGCTATTAGCATGTCTCTAGATCCTCTCTTAAATTAGCTTTAATTAAGACCTAAATTCTAGGGTGTTGCTTAGTGTCTTAGACTCCTACATGCTGTTTGTAACAACGCTCTACGAATAGTGACCCGATACCACTAGGATACGGTTCTAGCAACTCATGACCATGGCCCTTGTCGCATGGCATAAGCTCACACCAAACTGCCACTAAACCCTTATATATAAGGAGCAAGGAACTGTAGCATTATAGAGTAGTTTTTCTGTATCCTTTTGTACAAGACCTATAGGTGTAGAGAATATATCCTAGTGTTCTTATCATCCTAGCACTCCCATATGCCTTATAGCAGATTCACACCTATTCTAGATATCTCTCTTCTTGCCTGCGTCGTTACATTATACAGAAAAACTCGTCCTAGCCAGTGACGGCCTCTAAATAATATTGCAACTTGTTTATTTTAGATTACACCTAAGAACCTAGTAGGATTAGAGTTAATTCACTACACACTGTTACATCTAGTATTTAGCTATAGTTAGGATACTAGAGATCTCCTAACAACTAAAGCCTTTAGGTTTAGAACTTCTAAGACAATTATGTCTAGATTACTTTAGAAAAGACGCGTTAGATAGCGCTAAGGTAGAGACTAGGAGACTACTAACAACCCACCTAAATTAGAGATAATACTAATGTTAGGCAGCAACACCCCTAGTTCTAAGGAACCTATAAGAAGATTAGCCTAAGTTTAGAGCACAGCTAATAAGGCCTCTAAACTACCCCCTAATTAAACCTTAGTAGCAAAGAATACAGCTAAAAGTAATTAAGAAGTAGATTTAGACTTAGATAAGATAGACCTAGTAAAAGAAGTTACAAGACTTTGTGCTAAAATCTCCTAACTAAGGGCTTCCTAATAACTATTAGATAACCTACTACTAACTACTAAATTAATCCTAATAATATCTTAACAGCTATTATAGTTCTAGTCTAAGACACCCCTAGACTACAATATTAGGCAGAAACTTTCTAAACATACCCTAAAGATTAATAATCTTAATAATAGAACTAGTCTAACCTTTAAATAATAGCAGGTCTCTATATAAGACTAATTAGAAATTAACGCAGATTACTATTAGAGCAAGCGCGCTTAAATAGCCTTAGTATAGGGACACACAACAGGCCTAGCCAAAGAATATCTAGAGCCTTAGTATCTAGCTAATAGTCCTTTAGAGTTATTTTAGGACGCTGAAGAGATAATTGCCCTTCTTAAGTCCTATTTTATCACAGGAAATAAGAAGGCTAAGAGTAGAGCTGTATTTAACTAGCTTACTATAGACAAGAACAAATTATTCCCTGCGTTTAAAGCTTATTTTCTTAGTGCAGCTATACGTGGACAAGTACCTAGAACAGAGTGGTTCTACTACCTGTGGACTAAGGTTACCTTAGGACTTTGTGTGCCTAACCTAGGTTTTAAGAGGTAGTAGAACAATTTGTTTAAACTTATAGTAGAGCACTTAACTGCGTTTAATATAGAGTAGAGCAACTAACCTGACCCTACAGGAATATTTAGACATTCTAGTGCCCCTCTAACGCAGAGCTGAAATTGTTTTGCTTTAGACACTACTAAAAAGGGCACACCTTCTAGAGATTACAATGCTTTGTCATTGTATCAACGTCAGCCAAGCAGAGCACCATCCGTACCCGCTCTAAGGGCCTTCTCTAAGACCCCTAGACCTGTTAAGGAATCCACACTAACACTAACACCTAGTAACTGCTATAACTGTAGTAAGCCAGGACACTACGCTAATAACTGCCCAGTCCTACGCGTACGCAAGATTAAGTTAGCTAGTAATAAGGACCTTGTAGACGCCTCTAAAACACATAACTACAACACTAATAACTACAATTAGATAGGAAATAAAGAAGCCTAGGAGGAGTTCCCTTCCTAGGCCTAAACTATTATAACTTATCTAATCTTAATTTATCTTATTTATTTAGTAGTTTATATTTCCTTATTAAGTCTATTTTATACTTAAAAGGCCTTAGTGTCTACATTAACTTATTAATTAATACTAGAGCTTAAGGACACCTTTTTCTTAACTCTAAAATTACTTCTTTAATTTCTTTAGCTCTTTAGATTCCTATCTAAAAGCTACCCTTTAAGATTTTAGTAAAAGGTTTTAAGGACTAGATTTTAACCCTAGTTACACAGTATATCTAACTCTACAAAATTATAGATAGTAGAAAGATACATAACTGTCCCTTTGTAATTATAGACTTAGGTTTACAAGACTGTATTATTAGAATCTAGTAGCTAAGAAGATTTAAGCTCTAGCTAGATTTAGAGCATTCTTAACTTATTTAGCCTAACTAGTACCTAGCTATTTATAACCCTGCTCTGCTAATACTTATATCCCTCTATTAAAACATTGTAACGTACCTCACGGGTTCGTGCACCACACAGGTTCGTGCACCACTTTTGCCAAGCCCCCACCAAAACCACCCCATTCTGGCGCAAAACAGCCCACTTTGGCCCTGTATAGAGCAATATAACACGAGATATTATTCAGAGTCTACTTCTACTGCTTGCTTACACGTACGCGCGTTATGCCCAGTCTGATTGCACTGTCTGCAGCGCCTTTGAGTTGGCTCACCTCCTTCAGCGCGTACCTGCTTCTTTGCCTTCTTCCCATCACTACGCGCCCCAAACTCCTTTAGAGCAGTTAGACGAGCTCCATCCTTAACTATTAAGGTCCCTTCTGCCTAAACCCGCTTTCTTTTATGCGATCTACGTCGCGTAGCAGCCTCATTTGCCGCTCGAAGCTCTGCGATCTCCTTTTGCGCCAACACTAGCTTGTGCGCGATAATCGCTGCCCCCTTTAAGACCTTCTCAAAGGCCTCCACCATAGACGTTAGTAAGCTATCTATATGCTTCTGAATCCTTTCCTTAACAAGCGTTAATTGCGACCCTAGTTTAAGGGTATTACTTAGGGTTTGCAACTGCTAGGACTTAGTGTTAATAGGCAGTAGTAGTAATAGAGTACGCAACTAGACGTTAAGGGCTGTTATAACCTGTTCTAGGTTAAATAGGACTAATCTAGCGCCTTAAAACCCTCCTTAGATATTACTAGAAGTAATTGCTGCATTATAGGCGCGTATAAAGCATGGTAGGAACTTAAGTTTTATGATGTGGGTAATCTAGTTACGCATGAGATCTTTGGCTTGGTGCCCGTACGCCTTCTTTAAAGGGGCAAAACATCCTACATCAAGAGGCTGCAGGAGGTGCGATGAGTGCGGAGGCATGCAGATAGTGATAATCTTGTTCTCCTTGCAGTACTGCTAGAAATCGAGCGAGTCGTGGCTCTCATGGCCGTTAATAATGAGGAGCCAATAAGCGCCTATAACCCTCCTCTTTGTATACTCATCAAAGTGCTTTAACCACTGCAGCCTAAGCTTATTTGTCGTCCAGCCGTTCTCAGAGACTGCAATAACCCAGTCCTGAGGCAGATTCTCCTCCTTGTACCAGGCAGAGAGGTGATAGCGGCCCTTGAAGATGATGAAGGGTGGAATAGCCCACCCTGTTGCGTTGATGCCCTAGATGACTGTTGTCCACTCCCTATTGCCTTGCTGTATTACCTTTAGCCTTCCTCGTCTCTCTAAAGCTGTAACAACTGCCCTAGTCAATATCTAGCCTATCATGAAGCCTGACTTGTCAAAGTTATACGTGTCTTTATCCTGGATACTGTACTTAGCTTTTATGTTAGCTACTAGGCGAAACTAGCCCTAGATAACCTTAGGATCCTCGCAGAGTGCTCTCTTGTAATCGTACTTGCGATTAAACTTTATTGTGAACTTAGGGCGGTGCATAACCCACGTACTGGGCCAGTTTAAGCCAACCTGGCCTAGATTGCGCTCTGCGCGTAAGGAATTGGCCATATCAGCTACAGCTGCGAGCCTGGGGGGGAATCCGCGCGAGATGAGGTCAAGTATATGCTCAACAACTACGCCCTCCTCAGTCTTTGTCAGATTCCTTGATTTAGGCCAGCGATCTGCTTGTGGAGTCTGTCCTGCGCGTCGGCGGCTTAGTGTTGTATAAGTGACTTTGTAGATAGCTGCAGCGCGTCGCAAGGAGAGTGTCGCGTCTTGTTTAAGAGCTTGAAGGGCAGTCTGTATCTGACGCTCATTAGAAGGCTCTATCTAGTGTTGTTGTTGAGGCATCACGTATAGAGGTAGAGTTGGTGGGGGCTTGGCAAAAGTGGTGCACGAACCTGTGTGGTGCACGAACCCGTGAGGTACGTTATTACAATATATTACTCTTAATATTTAACAACACAATAACTTATAGGAACAGGATAAGTATTAGAGAAGCTACAGCACACTAGTTATCTATTAAATTAGAGGATTACTCTACGCGCTAAAAAGTTAGAAGTTTACACCTCCTGCAATTCTAAGTTTACCTCTAGACGTGCAGTAACTAACTCTTAAAACCCTACTAAATCCTTCCCCTTTGCCTTCTATTGCTCTTATTTCTATAAATATATTCTATTTTAATATAAAAAGAAAAGAAAATAAATTCTTTATAACTAGTTTGTATAAAATAAACTAACTAATTATAGACAAGAAACTAGAGGACAACCCTAAGAATGCTGTGCTTGTTAACACACAACTTCTAGCTTGTTACAACCTATATTAGGATGTGTTTAGTAAAACAGCCACTAAGGAACTCCCTAAGCACTAACCCTACAACTACAAGATTATATTAACTAAACCCCTTCTAAACAACTTTAGTCCTCTATATAAGCAAAACCTAGAGGGACTAGAAGCAACTAAGCAATATGTGCAGGACTACCTTAAGCAAGGCTAGATTAAAAGCAGTAGCAGCCTATTTACCTCTCCTATCCTGTGTGTTCGCAAGTTAAATAGCAATCTGCGCATCTGCATAGACTTGTCAGATGCTCGTACTGTTAGCCAGAGTATGTGCTTAACAAGATCTAGGTGGTATGATGATTTATTGACAATCGTGGCGATGGTGTTTCTGCTTTGGCATCGTGCTGGTTGCTACAGGATTGAAGTGGGGGGGAATTAGCGCTGTTCGCGGCCGCCGGTGTGCGGGCCAATCAGGAGTTGCCAGGTCTCGCTTAATCGACCTAGCAACTGCTGATTGGCTGCACGACAGGTCCCTGCTCGATTGCGCAGATCTGACCTCTCGCCACTTACTCTTATCTAACACACCCCCTTTAGCTTAGAAACTCTTTAAGCTAACTATTTATGCGTGTGTAAGGTCCTTAATTTGTTCTTAAATCCTGTCTAGAGGCACGCTGTTTAGCACTTCTATTAACTCCCTGTTTACTAGACTAAGTTGCTAGAGGAAACCTTCCTACTTGTTTACTAGGAGTACCTTTGTAAGTCTGTCTACTATTATGCTTGCAGACTAGACGTGTTCTATAATAATCTTTCTAGTAGCCACCTCCTGTTAGAGCCAGTAGTTGTAGATATCTATATACTAAAGTTTAGTATGTAGTTGTAACACTTCCTTAGTAACTAGTTAAATTATTTGTTTGTTGTTACATTATATTATAATAGCGTGTGCGCCTATATTAATGTGTAGTTTGCGCAAGAGCCTTAAGATAAAAAGTGCTTCTTTTGCAACCTAGGTAAGAGTAAGAAGCTTAGCCTTAGTTATTAATGTTATTACTGTGTCCTACTTGTTTGCTTTCTATGCAATAAGGCCACTAAAGAGTTTAATTGCGTAGCCTTAGGAGCTCTTTCTATCTATAGTGTTGTCAGCGAAGGACACGTCACTTGCTACCTGGAGGCCAATGCCTCCTCTAAGCTGCAGTGATCGCTGTTTAGTGTTAAGTAGATATAGAAGGACCCAGTCCGCAGCATCTTGGTGGCTGATGCCTGGATTGGTGAGGAACCTGGCAAGCCTTGATGTGGCGAACGCAATGTCAGGTCGCGTGGTGACCGCAGCGAACAGCAGTGATCCAATTTTGCGTTGATACTTGTTGATTTCTGCTGGCGCTGCTAGTCCACTCCTTGGCTGTAGTTCAATTATTGCTATTAGAGTGTTATGTCGTATAGTTGTGTTCTTAGCAAGGCAACTAATTTTGTCTAAGTACGCTGCCTAAGATAGGTAGATTTTCTTGCTTGCTTAGTCTTGTATAATCTCTATGCTAAGGAACCACTGTAGGTTATGCCCTCCTATGCAGGTGTACTTGCTCTGTACGTGGCTAATTGTCTGTATTGCCTCTTGCTCTTTTAATTTATTATATGTAAGGATAATATTGTTAATATAAAAGAAGATAATAATACTGCCCTTAGTTAGACAGCAGGGTTTGTGAGGCACAGTCTAGAAACCTAGTGCTTTTAGTGTTGCAGTGAAGTTCTTCTGCTAGAGGAGGGGAGAGATGCGCAGCCTGTAAAGTTCCTTGTTTACTTGCAGTATTGTGCCAGGCTTCTAATAGCCTCGTGGCATTCTTATGTAGACCTCTCTGTCTATTGTAGCATGAATAAACGCGTTAGTAACGTCGTATTGTTTAAGCTCCATGTTATAGTAAGCTGCTATAGCTATTATTGTTTGAAAGGATTGGCTGGTAAGTGTGGCTGCGTAGGTGTCTTGTGATGTAATATTGCGTTGTTAATTGCCTCTAACTACTAGTTGCGCCTTACACTTTAGCAGTTAATAATGTCTATTAAGCTTATAGGTATATACCTACATATAGTTAAGGATCTGTTGTCCTGTTAGTCTAATTTTCTAAAGTAGTACTTCTAACTATAATTTTATTTCTTAGTAGCTTGTAAGGTGCTCTTGCTTAGCTTCTTAAAAGAGTTTACCTATAGGGTAATCCTTAAGCTTAGTTTAGAATATAGGCAGAGGTAGAAGTTAACTTT